ATATCCTGGTCAGACAATCTAAGCACTTCACCACACCGGATCTGATGGCTCAGGGAAGGTGCTGAATCCTCTTTGTTTTGTACAGGAGGGGATATTCTCCACCCTCGTCGTTTGTGATGCCTCCTGGCTTCTCATGAGTAAACCTTTGCTTCCGTTTCAGACACCGCAGGGATAATCGGGGTGAGGGTGTTGCTACTCCCATGATCATCCTAAAGCTGGTGGCCAGTTTTCCAATGCCTAGTCTTGATTCCTGGAGAACGATGCCTGCCACAAACAGACAGACAGACAGATACATCTCTTTTTTATTATAGACTGCACCCCACCCCCTCATTCCCCTAACCAAAACCATGGTTCTGTGCTTTTACGGTATTGTTTCATAAGGGAAAGACCCGTCTTCCCTCGATGGGTTAACTCCTTGAAGTTCTGTTTGGCCATATTTTTGTCCTCTAATGCTAAGTATTTTCAGTACCATTCTTGCTTGGAGATCTTCGTTTGCTGCCTCCTCTGGAGCAAGGGTGTCGAACTCATTTGTTACGAGGGCCAGAACTGACAAATGTCACTTTGTTGGGCTGGGCCATGCGTGTAACACAAAGTACTCTCTAGCACTGTTCCCTCTAAGCTGTGGAGTCTTGTGAGCAAAAATCCTACTTTGTGAGCTACTGGGCATTAAAGATGTGAGCAAGTGATTTGGCTACTGCATAAATAGTGTTGCTCTGGAGCCCTCCTTCCTGGGCGAAGACAAAAATGTGTGAGCCAGAGGCTAAAAAACTATGAGCTAGCTCACACTAACTCAGCTTAGAGGGAACACTGCTCTCTAGTACTTTGGGTTACATTTTATGGCACGCATGGCCCGGCCTCCTGGAGAACAATGCCTGCCACAAAAAGGCAGACAGACAGATACATCTCTTATTTATTATAGACTGCACCCCACCCCCCTCATTCCCCTAACCAAAACCATGGTGTTGACGAGAGTCTTCTGGCCCAGCTGACCTCCAGGAACCCCACCCCCACCCCCCTTTCCATTTCCAGTCATTATACACGGGAGGCCACCCCCGTCTCAGTCTGCTTGCCAACTTCATAGCTTGCTGTGATTTCAAGATTGTATCACTACACATATGCCTGAGTGTGGTACTTAGTGGCAGTTTCAGTACTGAATGAGCGATGCTGCGTAGAGTTGCCAACCTCCGGGTGGTGAGTACAAGGAAGGGATCACAGTTGTAGGTGCACACCAAGAAACAAGGAAACACTGCGATAAAAATAACACTTAATAATTCATGTGAACATCAATATGTATATCTATTCAAACTTTTTTTTTTAATAGAATGAAAAAAACTTTTTATTCCAGTTCTTTGTAAACAGACGTTAAACAGATCTATTGGATGAAGAGCCTCCTTTTTGTAAGAAGATGTTTTAGTCAAGAGTGCTGGAGCTGGAGATCCTTTTATGTCTTTTACGTCAGTCTATTTATATTTTTTATTGGTTTTTGTAAATAATATTAACATTGGTACAACAAGTGGTTTCATAACTTCTTAGAAGTGAATATAACGCTATGTGTAAGCTATATCATTACAGTTCTTGTACATACAGTGCATGTTTTCTTTTTACAGAGGTGTCTTCTTTCTTTCCGATGTAGCACACATAGCACACACACACGAGGGCCAGGGCCTTTTCGGTGGCGGCCCCTACCTGGTGGAATGAGCTCCCGGAGGAGATCCGGGCCCTGCGGGATTTGATACAGTTCCGCAGGGCCTGCAAGACGGAGCTCTTCCACCAGGCTTTCGAGTAGGGGCCGCCGCCTCCCCCCCCCCCCCCTATAATACCACCATGGGGAAGAGGCCCTAGGAAGGGAACATCTGAATTCTTTAACACCTGAATATTGAAGCCACTGAATGACGACTGGGAACGTCTGGAGATGGTCCGTCCTCTTTGTTGGGGTTTTGGAACTGAAGATCATCGAGCACTTTAATTGTATTGGGACTGGTTTTAAATTGTATAATATGGTTTTAAATATAGGAATAGTATGTTTTATCGCTGCAAGATTTCTTGCCCTGTAAGCCGCCCTGAGCCCTACAGGGGAGGGCGGGGTATAAATCTGATTAATAAAAATAAAATAAAATAAAAATATTTCCCCCCCCTCTTAATATATATTAAACTAGGAAATTCTGACATATTCAAGGAAAAGTCTGACATCATGATACCCTCTATGAGCACCCGGCTTTATACTCATTTCATTAGTCTTCCTCAGGAGTAATCCTCTAAGGTTGGAAGGTGTAGACCTCTTGATGCAGCTTAACTTCTTCTGAATGCAGTTTAACTTCTCTTTCACTGTCTTGCCATTATTGCAGCTGAAATTCTTTTTCAAAATGTCCTGAAACAAGCATGGTTATCGAGATTGGAAAGAGACATTGCAGTTGGATGGAATGTAGCATTGTAATAATTTTCAAATGGTTTTTAATTTGAATACTTCAAACTTTCCAGTTCCACCCCCAGATCCCCAGGGAATTTCCCAAGCCAGTGTCTACAAGACCAGCTCTGCCCCCTGAGGAAATGTTTGCTTTAATAGGGGACAAAGCAGCTTCAGAGAACATCCTTTCCTAGCTAGCTGTAGGCGAGATTAAGTGTATAACAAATATATACTCTCTTGTTTGGTGTAGTGGTGAACTGCGCGGACTCTAATCTGGGAGAACCGGGTTTGATTCCCCACTCCTCCACTTGCAGCTGCTGGTGTGACCTTGGGTCAGTCACAAGCTCTGGCACAGCTGTCCTTGAAAAAGAGCAGTTTGTGTCAGCCCCACCCACCTCACAGGGTGTCTGTTGTGGGGAGGGGAAGGGAAAGGAGTTTGTAAGCCGCTCTGAGACTCCAAGTGAAGGGCGGGGTATAAATCCAATCTCTCTCTTCTTCTTCTTCTTCTTCTTCTTCTTCTTCTTCTTCTTCTTCTTCTTCTCCTTTCTTTGTTATCAGTACCCAAAGTAGGTTGTATGATTCTTTTATTTTATCCTCATAAGATGGTGTGCGTGGCTCATAGTGGGCAGCAACGTTTAATACAAAAGTGGGGATTTGAAGCTGGGAACTCCTAAATCCTAGCCAGACACTCTGCCCACTAAACCTGCCTGCCTCCAATAGATAGCAAGGGCCCATTCTTCACAGGAACACATGATACTGCCTCCTACTGAATCAGGCCCGTGGTCCATCAGAATCAGTCTTGTCGACTCAGACTGGCAGCAGCTCTCCAAGATCTCAGGCAGAGGTCTTTCACATCACCCCCTGCTTCATCCTTTTAACTGGAGATGCCGGGGATTGAACCTGGGACCTTCTGCAGGCCAAGCAGAGGCTCTGCCACTGATCCAGCCCCCTCCCCTTTGTTTTAAAGGAGGGGATATTTTCCACCCTCCCAGTCTGGGCAGCTTTACTCCTCTACGGGGACACAAAGCAGCTCATGTTGTTCTCCCCTCTGTTTTCTCAGAATGGCCCTCTGAATTAGGTCTGGCTGAGAGAGAGTAACTGGCCCCCGGTCATCCGGGAAGCGTCCCTGGAAGAGTTCTGGGGTATTTGAAGCCGTGTCTCCTAGATCCTGGTCAGAGACTCTAGCCACTACACCACAACAGATCTCATAGTTCTGGGAAGTTCCTGAATCCCGTCTGTTTTGTAGAGGGGAGATGTTTTCCACCCGCCCTGCCTGTGCTGTGGCCCTTTGCTGTCTTTTCACGAGTAGACTTTTGCTTCCATTGCAGATAGCAGAGGGATGTCATCATAGAGCTGTATTCCTTATCCCATGCAACCCCCATATCCTCACTTTTTTCTGTCTCCTCTCATTCCCACCCACCAACCCATCTACTTATAGTTGCCTGCCCCCTTCACCTTTCCCTCCTTCCCTTCCCCAACAACCTCCCGTGGGGAAAATCTGGCCCAGTTATTCTGTGCCAGCCCAACTATTAGGGTGGGTCCCGTTGCAAGGTGCTAGCTGGGCTGGACACAGTCGCACAGAGGGGAACCATCAAGGACTTGTGGGGAGTCCCTTGTTTTCCCCTCCCTGTACTATTTGTCTCCATCTAGCAGCTCCTGCATGTTTCAATTTCCATGTTTCCTTCTCTACCACCCACTCACCAACCGATCTTTTAACTTGCTGCTCATGCTCAGCTACACAGAATTTTTTTTGATTTATACTCCACTTTTCTCCTCAGTGATGGTCAAAGCAGCTTACAAAATTCTCTGCTTCTCCGTTTTATCCTAACCACCCTGTGAGCGAGTGTATGTGTGTGTGATTGGGCCAAAGTCACCCAGCTTGCTTCCAGTGCAGAGTGGGGATTCAAATCTGAGTCTCCCAGACTGTAGTCTGAAACTCTGACCACTAGCTCACGCTGGGATTTGCAGTATTGAACAGTTTTTAAGTGTGTATGCCCCCCCCCCCCCGTACTTTTCCCAGGTTTTTCTTCACGCATGGGTCATTTTCCAGGTTTGTAGAAAGAAAGTCCATGTAGAAAGAAAGTCCATGTCTCCAGTCTCTGGACTTCCATATTTTATCACTTTCATATAATAAAAAAGTTCAGTAAGATTCAAGATTTTTAAAGCATTTCTTTTCCTGTTCTGTTTTATGTGTTCCCTAAATCAACACCAGAAAACATATTAACTTTAATGTGATCTCAAAAGTAAATTTCTTCAACAGAAGCAAGAAATTCCCTCCTAGTTCCTTTGGTCACTGTTCCTTCTTTTCCAAAACATCTTGGTGTGGTGTAATATTGCTGTGGTTTTTCCAGGCCCCAGGTTATCCTTGTAAAAAATATTACTCACTTTACCTGTTAACTGGTATTTGTACCTTTTCATTCTTATTGGATTTCTGTCTCTTTTTTGCAGTTGAAGATATGAGGGAGATGATGAGTAAGAAGAAATCAACCCGAGATGAAACAGGGAAGAGAAAGAGAAGGCCTAATGGTGCCATGAATCAGAAAGTGTTCAGCTGTGAATTCAGTGGTAAAACCTATGTTACAACATGCTGGAAAAGGTATAAATGCTTGGAATGTGGGAAGAGCTTTGATTGGAGTAGTTCACTATCTAGGCATCGAAGGACTCACACAGGGGAAAAGCCATATAAATGCTTGGAGTGTGGAAAGTGCTTCTCTCAGAATATTCACCTAAGGACACATCAGAAGGTTCACACAGGTGAGAAGCCATATAAATGCTTGGAGTGTGGAAAGTGCTTCACTCGGAATGACACGCGAATAGCCCATCAAAAGATTCATACTGGGGAGAATCCATACAGATGCTTAGAGTATGTAAACTGCTTCTCTCAGGATGGTGACCTAACTGCAGAGCAAAATGTTCACATGGGGGAGCAGCCATATGAATGTTTGGAGACTGTAAAGTGTTTCTCTTGGAATGGCAGCCTAACTTCACATCAAAAGACTGATAAAAGGGAGAAGCCATATAAGTGCTTGGAGTGTGGAAAGTGCTTTTCACAGAATGGCCGCCTAATTTCACATCAAAAGATTCACTCAGGAGAGAAGCCATATAAATGCTTGGAGTGTGGAAAGTGCTTTTCACAGAAAGTCTCCTTAACTTCACATCGAAAGATTCATGCAGGTGAGAAGTCATATACATGCTTGGAGTGTGATAAGTGCTTCTCTCAGAAAGGCACGCTAAGCCAGGGGGGTGTCAAACCTGTGGCCCGCAGGCTGGAACCTGCCCATCCAAAGGTCTAATCTGGCCTGTGAGCAAGTGGTGAGAGGGAGGAAAGTGGAGGGAACCACACTTTCAGCTAATGACGGGAGTGTGCACTTTGGGGCCCTCTCCTCTCTCCCCTCCCCACCCTTCATGAATAAAGTGGATGAAGCCAAAAACCATGCTCCTCTGTTCCCACACAGGTTCTGCCCCCTCATTGCTTGGAGCAGTACAAGCGATAAGTGGTACAACCGAGAGCATGACAGACGAGCCTGAAAGGTGAGCAGATAATGGCAGGTGGGAAAGAGATACTGTGAAGTGTAAAAATGCTCGTTCAGGAGCAGCAACGGTGTGTGTGTGTGGGGGGGGGGCGGAGAAAGGAAAGTCTGAGAGTGCCAGAGCCATGAGGAGGGCAGAAGGGGTGGGCTAGGAAATTGCGCTTGGCAGGGAACGGCTTGAGCACGAGCCTGAAAAGAGAGCATGAAATGGCGGGTGGGAGAGAGATATTGTAAAGCGCAGAAATGCCTTTGCCAGATCCGTGGCGGCAAGAGGGAAAGGATGGAAGGAAAGGCCCAGAGTGCCAGAGCAATGAGGAGGGCAGAAGGGGGCGGGCACCGTTGCCTTGCTGCACTCTGTCGGGGGGGGGCTTTTCTCCTTGGTCTTTTTTGCCTCTCCTCATGCCGAAGCGGCTCTCCCTCCACTGCCCGCTCGCCGCCTCCTCCTCCTGCTTCCTGCCCTCGCCACTGCCCAGGGCGCACAGCCTCAGCCTCTACTTGCCTGATGACCCTCTGGCACTGCTGGGGACCGGCCTATCGGAGCCCAGCATCTTGAACTCCCTCAGCGCCTGGGTGGTCAAGTTCTACGCCTCCCAGGGTGGCCACTGTGTGCGGTCTCCCCCGCCTGGAAAGAGCTGGCCAATGACATCAAGGGTAAGCGGCAAGGCCAGCCACCGTGACTGCCGGGGTGTGCAACTGGGGAGCCCCTTGTAGGCTCTTAGAGGCACTCTGGTCCTGGGGCATGCTACGGGGAAGCCCTCTGTAGGTGCTCACAGGCACTCTGGTCTTAAAATCATAGCATCATTAGAATCACAAAGTTGGAAGGGGCCATACAGGCCGTCTAGTCCCACCCCCTGCTCAGTGCAGGATCAGCCCAAAGTATCCCTGACAAGTGTTTGTCCAGCCGCCGCAGCTGATTCCACTGTGGCAAAACTCTTACTGTAAAAAAGTTTTTTCCTAAAATCCAGCGGGTACTTTCCCACCCTTAATTTCACCCGATTATTGCGAGTCCTCTCCTCTGCTGCCAACAGGAACAGTTCCCTGCCTTCCTCTAAGTGTAAAAGGTAAAGGTTCCCTTGCTCGAAAGCCAGTCGAGTCCGACTCTAGGGTTGCGGTGCTCATCTCCGTTTCAAAGCCGAAGTGCCAGCGTTGTCCGAAGACGTTTCCGTGGTCACGTGGCTGGCATGACTAAACACCAAGGCGCACGGAACGCAGTTACCTTCCCACCGAAGTGGTACCTATTTTTCTACTTGCAATTTCTTGCTTTTGGACTGGAGCTGGAACTAGAGATGGGAGCTCACTCCATCATGCGGCACCCGGGTCTCGAACTGCTGAACTACTGACCTTCCACAGCCTGCAGTTCAGCCAAATACTTAAAGAGAGCAACCCTGTCCCACCCCCCCAGCCTCCTCCAGACTGAACATTCCCAAGTCCCTCAGCCTTTCCTCACAGGGCTCGGTCTAGAGCCATCCAGGTCAGACATGCGACAGGAGGGTCCTCCGTAGGCACTCGGAGGCATTCTGGTCTTTGGGCATCAGGGCTGGGCTTGCCTCAGGGCAAGTCGTCCCTCGGTTCAGCCCCGGTTAAAGGAGGCCACCTCTGCAGGGACAGCGGCCTCTTCCCATTCAGTCCCTGGCACGCCAGCCCTTTTCCTATTTGCTTGGATGGTTGCACGATGGGCGGGGGGTTGTTGTGGTTTTTATATTCCATCTGCCTTCTATTGTGTGCCCTTTACGTCACTCCTGGAGTCTCTGTACTCGCTTGTGCCGGGTCCTCCGTAGGCACTCGGAGGCATTCTGGTCTTTGGGCATCAGGGCTGGGTTTGCCTCAGGGCAAGTCGTCCCTCGGTTCAGCCCCGGTTAAAGGATGCCGCCTCCGCCTCTGCGGGGACAGCGGCCTCTTCCCATTCAGTCACTGGCACGCCAGCCCTTTCCTTTTGGCTCGGATGGCTGCACGACGGGCGGGGGGTTGTTGCGGTTTTTATATTCCATCTGCCTTTTATTGTGTGCCCTTTGCTTCCCTCCTGGAGTCTCTGTACTCGCTTGTGCCTCTTGGAAGGGTTTCTTCCCATTCTCTCATGTGCCACCCCCTCCACCCACCCCTGGGGATGTAGTCCAAAAGTGTTGACTTTAGATTGGGGGAGAGGGGTCGTGGCTCAATGGAAGAGCCTCTGCTTACCGTGCAGAGGGGTCCCGAGTTAAATCCCTGGCACCTCCAGTTAAAAGGACCAGGCTGTGGCTTATGAGAAAGACCTCAACCTAAGACCCTGGAGAGCCCCTGCCAGTCTGAGTAAACCCGGGGTGGTGGTGGTGGGGGGAAAGCTCGCAATGCCCAGTGCTTCATGTTTTCCTTGGGGTCTAGGTTGATAGCATTAGCAGCGAGAGAGGCCTGGGCTTCGCTCCCCCTTCTGGGAAGCGCAGGGGCTTCTGCCTGGTGCTACACCAGTTTGGTGTAGTGGTTATTACCGTGCAGAGGGTCCCGGGTTAAATCCCTGGCACCTCCAGTTAAAAGGACCAGGCTGTGGCTTATGAGAAAGACCTCAACCTAAGACCCTGGAGAGCCCCTGCCAGTCTGAGTAAACCTGGGGTGGGGGGAAGCTCACAATGCCCAGTGCTTCATGTTTTCCTTGGGGCCTAGGTTGATAGCATTAGCAGCAAGAGAGGCCTGGGCTTTGCTCCCTCTTCTGGGAAGCACAGGGGCTTCTGCCCGGTGCTACACTGCTGGCTCTCCAGTCCACTCATGTGGGCTTTCCTTTGCACCTGGAGCCTTGCAGCGAGGACACATCAGCTTGGTGCTCACCAGCTGCTGGAGGCGCCTGGCTCCTAAGCTGGACGGCCAATCCAGAGCGATCTTGGGCCAGCTGGGGGGGGAGTGGTGTGAGCTATCGGACCTGGAAGAAGAAGACTTCCTTCTGGTCCACTGCCTACGGCTGTGGATTTCCTCCTTCTCTTTCCCAGCAGCAAACTCCCCCTTCCCTTCCAAGCCACTGGAAGGGGAAGCCTTCCCCCAAATGATAACATGCCACGTGCAATTGAAGCTAAGAACAAAGCACAATTACAGCTAAATTCAAAGAGCCTGGCTGCTATGAATTTGTACGAACCGTTTTTTAACCACCTCCCTTTCCCTTGCAGCATTGACTTTGCACGTTTGTGGTTTGGGGAGTCACTGGCCATCTCCGCATTAGCCAAGAAGAGAAAAGTCGACGCGGAGGGTCGTGTTGTTCAAGAAAAATGGAGATACCTTTATTTTTCTGTGGAGCAGAATGGGAAACCCACTTGCCTGATTTGCTCACAGCAGATATCTGTCCCTAAAAAGTACAACGTTCGGCGACACTATGAAAGTTATCATGCTGGGGAGTATGACCAATACGATGGAGAAGTGCGAGAGGAGAAAGTTTCCGAGTTGGAGCAGTCATTGAAAGAACATGAAGCCCTTTTCAAAAAGTTGTATCAAATGCATGAAGCGGCAGTTAAGGCGAGCTATATGATTGCACGTGAGCTAGCCGTGTCATCGAGGCCCTTTTCAGAAGGGGAGCTTGTTAAAAAGTGTATGATCATGGCTGCAGAAGCAGTCTGTCCAGATCAGCAGCAGGTTTTTGCTGACATAAGTCTCTCAAGAGACATGGTTGCAGAGAGAATTTGTGACTTATCTGAGAACCTTCACACCCAGCTTACAGAAAAGGCGAAGTCCTTTATTGCATTTTCAGTTGCGATAGATGAAAGCACGGATGTAACTGATGTAGCCCAACTTGCAATCTTTATTCGTGGAGTTGATCAGGAAATAAATGTCACAGAAGAATTTGTAGAAATCGTTCCTGTCAAAGACACAACCACGGGTGATGACATCTTCGAGAACTTGGTAGGAGCTCTGGATAAAATTGGTGCCGACTGGACAAAAGCGGTGAGTCTGGCCACAGATGGGGCACTACAGGTGGTGGAGGGCAAAGCTGGAGTTGCCGCAAAGCTCAAAGAAAAATTGGTATCGGCCAACCCACAACATCAGTTTTTCCATTTCCATTGCATTTTGCACCAGGAAACTCTGTGCAGCAAAACAATGAAGATGGATAATGTGACGAGTGTGGTCATAGAAACTGTTAATTTTATTCAAGCCAGAGGTCTCGACCATACGCAATTGAACAGTCTTATGGAGGAAAGCGTTATCAGACAAGGGGTACCATATCACACTGAAGTCCAGGGGTTAAGTCGTGGAGCTCTCCTGAAATGCTTCTACGAACTCCGAAGTGAAATACAAGTATTTATGGATAAGCAAGGAAAGGCTGTCCCTGAATTACAAGATAAGGAATGGCTTCAAGATCTTGCTTTTATGGTAGATATCACGGAACACCTGAACTGTCTCAGCACAAAGATGCAGGGTCGAAACAAAGTCGTGACAGAATTTTACGACAGCATTTGTGCCTTTGAGATGAAGCTTCAGCTTTGGGAAAAGCAACTTCAAGAAAACAACTTGGTGCACTTCCCCACCATGAAATCTCTGTCTAGTGATCCTATATCCACAGAGAAGTACAGGAGAAAAATTTCTGAGCTCCGAAATGAATTCCAAGAAAGGTTTTCTGACTTCCGAAACCTACAGAAAGACTTTCGGATTTTCCGTAATCCGTTTTCGGTGAATGTCCGTGAGGTTCCAGAGGAGCTCCAGAAGGAAATAACTGATCTGCAGTGCGATACTGAACTGAAGGATAAGCTTTCTGAAGTTGGCCTTAGCAGATTTTACCAGTATTTGGGTCATAATTACCCCCAACTTCAGTCTTTTGCTTCTAAAATCCTGTCCATGTTTGGGACAACGGACATCTATGAACAGCTCTTTTCTGTAGTGAATGTCAATAAACCGAAAGTAGGTTCACAGCTTACAGAGGCAGACCTGAGCAGCATACTCAAGATTGCTACAGCACAGACATTGTCTCCAGATTTGGATGCAATAATTCAGAGCAAGACATGTCAGTTATGAGAGACTGCTAAACGAACTATTGCAGGAGTCCTAAATGTTTAAACATGTTTGTAAGTAAAAAAATAATATAGTTAATTGTGTTTGTCTGTGTCCTTTATGAAGTGTATGTATATCTGGTACCTGGCATTACATTTTATGACACGCATGGCCTGGTCTCACAAAATGCTGCTTTATTTATTGATTTATTTTTCCAACTTGTATCCCGCCCTCCCAGCCGAGGCCGGCTCAGGGCGGCTTACATAAAATCACAATTTATGTCAGATCTAGCCTTTGTAACAAAAGTGGTTTCGCTGCTTTTTTAGTAAGGGGGGGGGGGGGGGGGACGGGTCAGGGAGAAAAAAGATTATTTGGAATAATGATTGGGTGAGTCCTTTCTAATATTTTTAAAGTGTTATTAATTTTTATTAACACTCACAAGAAGTAGGGCCAGTTTCATTCATCAGATAACGTCTCTGTTGATTTCTGGAATCGATTAGGACCATCGGAAATCATCTCGCCAATCGAAGTTGTTCATGGTCCAGCTATTTAAGCCATAATGAAAAAAACATTTTAATTTATACAAATGAACAAATTAAGAGGGGGGGGGAATGACTATAAAATTATAAAAGTTCTATCTGTGAAAGCAAGGTGGAATGAATCTTCACTCTGTGCTGGGGCATAGAGCTCTCAGTCTCTGGTCCAGGCCCACACTCAGTCATCTATAATAAATTATTTCAATATTTGTTTATTTAGTTAATAAATAAATTAACTAATCTGGGAGAACCGGGTTTGATTCCCCACTCCACTTGCAGCTGCTGGATGACCTTGGGCAAGCCATAGTTCTGGCACAGTTGTTCTTGAAAAAAGAGCAGTTTCTGTCAGAGCTCTCTCAGCCCCACCTACCTCACAGGGTGTCTGTTGTGGGGAGGGGAAGGGAAAGGAGTTTGTAAGCCGCTCTGAGACTCCTTTGGGTTGTGAAGGGCGGGGTATAAATCCAATCTCTTCTTCTTCTATTCCTGTTATCTTCTGTTCCCTTTTCTCTAAAGCTCAGAGTCCCAGGATACCAAAATCACCTCAAATTCTAGTACATTGTTTATATTCTTGGTGCTTTGGGGGCGTGAGAGAGCTTCTAGTGTCCTGGCCTCACTGATGGACCTCCTGATGGCACCTGGTATTTTTGGCCACCGTGTGACAGAGTGTTGGACTGGATGGGCCTTTGGCCTGATCCAACATTGGCTTCTCTTATGTTCTCTTATGTTCTTATGTTTCAATGACCCACAGGTTGAGAGGAGGGGAAAATAAGGTAAAGCAGTGGACAGGTGCTCCAGTGTGGCAAGTAAATGTCCCAGAATCCCAGAGAAAGAACATGAAGTTGGCAGCCTCCGTGTGAGCGGAGAGGGTAAGAGTGCATAGTTTTGGGATGAAGAGCAGCAACAGTTATAGGAGCCAGCACAACAGAATTTCAAGGACTTAAGTAACTCAGGGTGAGTCCAGGATGAGAAATTATGAGTTTCCTGGTGTGAAGGTATTGGACCTCCAAGCAATTTCTTGTTCTTTTCTTAGACATAGAACTAAACTTTGGTTAAGGCTTCACATTAAAGATCTGGGCCTGCAGGTGGGTTGAAGAGATCGAAAGGGAAACATCTGGCTGCTGTCATGGGAAAGTCCGTGCCTTTGAATAACAGGCCAAACGGAGCCCCGCCATTTGGTCCCTGAACACCGCACCTCGCTCTTTCTGCTGATGCTTATTTTACACGTCAGAGAGAAGCATCCTGTCGCAAATGGAATCACCTGTTGTCTGTCACAGATCCATGTCAAGATAACTTTGTTAATGTGAGTTTTGGATTGGCTAGAAGGGTCCCCAGCAATGTTCCCTCTAAGCTGTGGAGGCCTGTGAGCAAAAATTCTACTTTGTAAGCTACTTTGGCCACCAAATGAGAAGGGAGCACTCACTGGAGAAGACCCTGATGCTGGGAAAGATTGAAGGTCAAAGAAGACGGGGACGGCAAAGGATGAGATGGTTAGACAGTGTCATCATAGATGCAACGAACATGAAACTGAGCCAACTTCAGAGGACGGCGGAAGACAGGAGGGCCTGGCAGGAGCTGGTCCATGGGGTCGCGAAGAGTCGGACTTGACTGTGTGACTGAACAACAACAACAAAAGCTACTGGCATAAAATCTGTGAGCAAGTGATTTGGCTACTACATAAATTAGTTTGCTCTGGAGCCATCCTTCCTGAGCAAAGACAAAAATATGTGAGCCGGAGGCTGAAAAACTGTGAGCTAGCTCACTCTAACTCAGCTTAGAGGGAACACTGGTCCCCAGCCTGTCCGGATTTTAAGACTTTAAAGAGTTAGCTTTTCTGTTCTTTTGTGTTAGTTGGAGCAAGCCGCTTTAGCTCTCGGAGGTATGGGTTAATCCTGCAACTATGGATTAGGATTTAACTGTGTCGTTAAGGTGCCCAGCGGCCATGGGCAGAAGGAAGACCGGGCACCTTCTCCTTGCCCAGCTCCTGAGAGGACTCCTTGGCCGCACATCCTCCCAGCCCTCTTGCTCCGTGAAGGGAGAAACCAGCGTTTTCCTTCCTGTCTAGGCGATCTGCCTGGTATGTTTGAAGTCCCTTACTATGCAAATGGAAAGCCAATACAAGAAGCAGCAGCCATCCTGGCTAGGCGTGTTTGGCTTGCGTAGGGATGGGCAGGGGGACACCAACTCTGCTATCAGAGGAGATAAGTTGGGGTCGCAAACAATGCTCCCTCTAGGCTGTGGAGTCTTGTGAGCAAAAATTCTACTTTGCGAGCTCCTGGCATTAAAGTTGTGAGCGAGCGATTGGGCCACTGCATAAATTAGTTTGCTCTGGAGCCATCCTACCTGAGCTGACTCAAAAATCTATGAGTCGGGGGCTAAAAAAACTGAGCTAGCTCACACTAATTCAGCTTAGAGGGAACACTGGTCGCGAAGAGTTGGACTCGACTGTGCGGCCGAACAACAACAAAGGATCATGGGGAGGAGGTGAAAATGACCAATAAATTTCCTCTCTCCCTTTCCAGGATAACATACCCATTTCAGAGCCCAAAGAAGAGGCCCTTCCGGGCTCTGCCTCTCCTCTTTCCCCAGCAGGAGCAGAAAGGACCCCCACTCTGCTTAGGTGGGGAGGAAATGTTCTCTCCTGCCCTGTTTTTGAGGCAGACCTTCCTCTGCCCTCAAGGCCCCGTCATTTACGAGAAGGAGAGCGAAATGGGGCATGTTTCCTGCCCTCTCTTGGAATATCTTTCAGTCCCCTTAATAGGTCAGTGCCGGGGAAAGTGCCCTAAGGGCAGAAAAGGGTTCTCCCCCCATCACCTTCTGTCTCTTTTTCAGGATGTCTCCAGCTGGCCTCTCATGCAGTGGGGCTGTCATGGGAAGCTGCCCCACAGAGCCACCGAAGAAGGGAGAAACCTCCTCTTCCCCTGTACTTCTGTTCTTTCGTCTGGGTCTGGTTGTTGTAGGGAACTACATTTCCCAAAAGGCCTTGCACGCAGGCGTTGAAGGGGGCGTTTTCTTATGGAGGTGGGGAAGGACGTTTGGGGAACATGGAATTCCTCGGGGCTTCTCTTCTTTCTCATTTTTCTCCGCTGGAACGGGAATTTGGCTTCTGCACCTCTGCAGGAAAGGTGAGTGTAGGATTTCCTAGAAGAGGTCTTGTGCAAGAATAGCGGAGAGAGGAGAGAAAATACGTGTGAATGGGAGGGGCGGCGGCGGCGTGTTCCCCGGACAAGATCTGTGCGCGGGGTGGTGCTGGTGGTTCATTTTTCACCCCCTCGAATGTGTTTCCTGCAACCCGAGTGGGCTTATTTTATTTGTAAAATTTAGGTGGACCCCCGGTTTCATCCAGAAGGGCTCCTTGTCTGTGCTTAAAGGTAAAGGTTCCCTTGCTCGAAAGCCAGTCGAATCCGACTCTGGGGTTGCGGTGCTCATCTCCGTTTCAAAGCCGAAGAGCCAGCGCTGTCCGTAGACGGTTCCGTGGTCATGTGGCCGGCATGACTAAACACCAAGGCGCACGGAATGCTTACTGTGCTTACTGGCCCCCTTAGCTGGCTGCCCTCGCGCTGTTCTTTTTTGCATGTTAACCCCCGTAGAGGCGTTTGGCCATGTTTTGGTATTTAAACTGTATTTTCAGTACATCCTGTTGCTTTCGCCGGCGAACCATCCCAATGAGCATCGTCCTCGAGAAGATCTCTGTGTTGCTAACTGGTCTGAAGGTTTGTTTTGTGAAGGAGGGCAGCATCTGCACCTTCCCTGCCTGTGCCGCCTCCACCTGCCTGGCTTCTCGGGAGTAAACCATCACTCCCACTGCAAAATTGTTACGTATTCCGGGAAAAGAAGATGGCCACGGCAGCGCTAGCCTAGCCATGCCGTCAAACTACAGTCGACCTTCGGTCCAAAGACGATAGCCACCTCGGATCCTAGGGTGCACCAATGGGGCCGCCCGGATCCAAGAGTAGACCTATAGAATGCATAGACTTGTAAATAGAACCTATCACGCCGGTAATGGTGTGGAGTTAGCATATAAATCGGTCAGGGACCGGCAAGGTTGTCTTTTGTCTTGGAATGTAATCCAAAAAACCGGAGCTGATTCACTATGCGGAGTCTCCAGCCTCAGTACTTTTCAAGAATATTACAGGGATTTTCTGTTGTCCTCCAGGCCAGGAAGCTTCCGTTCCTTTCATTTTTGGCAGTGCAGTTCCCACAATCATCCTGAAGCCAACTTTGTGGCTCCTAGCTTTCGTTTTACTGTAGATAAATACCACCCCCCAACACTTCAGTAATTTTTCTGCAAGATATTTACCATTGCTTGAAGGCATTTTTATTCGGTGACATCCAAAATCTGTTGAGATGATTTTGTAGCTTCTTTGCAGTTCAAGGACATTTTGCACACACTGCTGTCATTCCACAGGCACGAATTCCCGGAAAGGTCTCTGAGGTAGCAGGTTTGTGCTGGGGGTTTTGTGCCCTACAACTCTTGCCTTTGAAGCCCCTAGTTCTACAACGCTCTGAGATTGAGTAGGCCTTGGGTTTATCCAGAGCTTTCTGGATGACACTTCCATGCTGGATCTCTTCCAGCCTGGCTTCCACCCGGGTTACGGGACAGAGACAGCACTGGTCGCCCTCACAGATGACCTCTGGAGGCATCTGGATCGGGGCGGGAAGGCAGTGCTGCTGTTGTTAGATCTGTTGGCGGCGTTCGACATGGCTGATCATCAGCTACTCGCCCACCACCTCGCTGACGTGGGGATTCAGGGGCTTGCCTTGCAATGGCTTGTCTCCTTTCTCCAGGGTCGGGGACAAAGGGTGGCACTTGGGGAGAAGCAGTCCTGAAGGCACCCGCTGGTCAGTTTGGTGTAGTGGTTAAGTGTGCGGACCCTAATCTGGGAGAACCGGGTTTGATTCCCCACTCCTCCACTTGCACCTGCTGATGTGACCTTGAGTCAGTCGCAAGCTCTGGCACAGCTGTCCTTGGAAAAGAGCCGTTTTCCTCCTCCTCCTCCTCCTCCTCCTCCCAAGGAGCAGTGGTCTCCCCAATGTTATTTAACCTCTATATGCGCCCCCTTGACCAGATTGCCCGGAGGTATGGGCTTGGGTGTCATCAATATGCAGATGACACCCAGCTCTATCTGTTGTTGGGTGGTCAGTCTCGCTCTACCCTGGAAGATCTGGACCAGGCGTTGCAGGACATGGTGGGGTGGCTTAGGTTGAGTCGGCTGAAATTGAATCCAAAGAAGACGGAGGTCCTGTGCCTAAATCGGAGCAGTCCGGGGTTAGCGGCCCCACTTCCGGCCTTTGGTGGGGCGCTGTTGGTGCCAGCACCGAGGGTCAGGAGTTTGGGAGTGCTCCTGGATCCCTCCCTGACAATGCTAGGTGGCAGCCACTGCCAAGGCAGCCTTTTACCATCTTCGGCTGATTAGGCCGTTGGTCCCCTTCCTCGAACGCAATGATCTGGCGTCAGTGATCCACGCTATGGTCACCTCGAGGCTAGACTACTGCAATGCTCTGTACATGGGGCTGCCCTTGGGGCAACTCCGGAAGCTGCAGCTGGTGCAGAACGCAGTGGCCAGGCTGTTGAGGGGTCTTCCCGGGCGGGAGCACATCCAGCCTGTGCTAAAGTCATTGCACTGGCTTCTAATAGCATTCCGAATTCGCTTTAAGGTGTTGGTTTTGACCTTTAAAGCCCTTAATGGTCTGGGGCCTGCCTACCTGAGGGACCGCCTTTCCCCATATGTTCCCCCAAGGGCACTGCGATTGGGAACGCAAAACCATCTGGCCCTCCCTGGGCCTAGGGATGCTAGGTTAGTGGTAACTAGGACCAGGGCATTCTCCCTTGTGGCACCAACGCTGTGGAATGAGCTCCCTCAGGAGATCAGAGCTCTACGGGACCTCCAGCAGTTCCATAGAGCAGTTAAAACGGAGCTCTTCCGCCAAGCGTTCCAATAAGAACTGACTACGCTGGTAGTGTCGCACTAGCACTTTACCACAAGATGTATTAGCTGGGATTTTATGGTATTGTATTTATATGTGTAATTGTTGGTTTTAACTGTATGTTGCTTTTAAATTGTTTGTAAGCCGCCCTGAGCTGCTTCGGCGGGAGGGCGGGGTAGAAATTTAAGAAATAAATAAATATTAGGATGGTGAGCTTCATTGGGCCAGTGTATAGGTACCAAGCTGGATGGCAGCTTTTGAGTAAGGCAGAATGCCTCTGCAGAAAAACCCCGTTTAAAACGGAAACGCTGTCTGGAGTCACGATGTTAATGTAATTGTGGGGTTAAATGTGCAGGACACTATAGTAGACACTGGTATACAGTTAATTGGGGTTCTTTTGTTTTTTCATTGAATTGGACGAAGAGGAGCACTGTTCTGTGCCATGTTCTGAATTTATTTCTCGGAGACTTTCCCCATATAATAACTGTCAGAGTCTCGGGGGAAAACACTAATCCAGTTTTCCTTGCCATCAGTTTGATGAATGGCATTCTTTTACTTGATAGAGTGGGCAATGGGATTCAGTGTCTTTCTTGAATCCCCGAGAACAGGAATCCATGATTAACTGGGCAACTGGTGTAGTGGTTAGGAGTGCGGACTCTAATCTGGGAGAACCGGGTTTGATTCCCCACTCCTCCACATGCGGCCGCTGGATGACCTTGGGTCAGTCACAAGTCCTCTCAGAGCTGTTCTCTCGGGAGCAGTCCTTGAAAGAGCTCTCTCAGCCCCAGCTACCTCAGAGGGTGTCTGTTGTGGGGAGGGAAAGGAAAGGAGATTGTAAGCCACTCTGAGACTCCTTTGGGTAGTGAAGAGTGGGGTATAAATCCAATTTCTTCTTCTTCCCTCTCTTTCAGAGATCCCCAGTGTCCTTTCAGGAAGTGGCTGTGTTCTTCACAGAGGAGGAATGGGTTCTCCTGGATCGAGACCAAAGAGAACTCTTCTGGGAAGTGGTGAAGGAAAATTATGAGGCCGTGGCCTCTCTGTGTAAGGATCTTTTCTTTTTTATTATGAACACAGAAGAGCGGGGGCAGGTGGGATTTTCCTTTGTGAGAGCCAGTTTGGTGTAGTGGTTAAGTGTGCGGACTCTAATCTGGGAGAACCGGGTTTGATTCCCCACTCCTCCACTTGGACCTGCTGATGTGACCTTGGGTCAGTCACAAGCTCTGGCACAGCTGTCCTTGAAAAAAAGAGCAGTCTGTGTCAGAGTTCTCTCAGCACCACCCACCAGGGTGTCTGTTGTGGGGAGGGGAAGGGAAAGGAGTTTGTGAGCCACTCTGAGACTCCAAGTGAAGGGCGGGGTATAAATCCAATCTCCTCTTCTTCTTCTTCTTTGTCTCGCGTGCATTTTAGAATGCACTTCCACACTTTTTCCTTTTTGTTCTCGTGGTATAAGACTTCCCCTCAGTGACAAGATGTTCATGGGGTAGTGGGTGTAAATGCTTTGGGTTGCTGCTGTGAGGTAAGTTATGTATTGAGCCTGAAGAGAAGAGAGATCACTGGAGCAGGGGTTTTCAAAAAGCAAGAAAAAAGATTTATTCATGCACACAGGAAGCTGCCCCACAAAGCAACAAATGAGCAAAGAAATCTTGTATTCTGTGTTCCCCAATACTTCAGTTTTTTAATTCTGTTTGGGTGTTGCTGTTGCAGGGAACTACATTTCCCAGAAGGCCTTGCGAGCACTGGAGAGATCAACCCTGCCTTTTCTAGGTGTCCAGGTTTTTCCTTGGGAGGAAGATGGAAATTTATGGGATATGCAGTTCCACAGGGCCTCTCTTCGTTCTTGTTTCCCCCCGCTGGAGGGAGAATTTGACTTTTGTACATCTGCCGGAAAGGTGAGTTTAGGATTTTATCCACAGCTGCTGGGTAAGAGTAGGGGAGGTGAAAGAAAGTATGTGTAAAGGGAAGTGAAGGAGGAAGATCTGTCTGGAGGGATCACTGGAAGATAGGTTTCTGGGTCAGATCTCCCCACAACCATCCTAGGTTTCTTTTTATTCTTAACACTAGACAAACCCCTGGTCTGATCCAGGAGGGTTCATTCCCAGTTCTAACTGGCCCTTGTAGCTTGCTGCACTCGCAGGTTTTTTGGGGTTTTTTTACATTCTCCACAGTTGAACCCACAAAGACACATTTGGCCATATTTTGCTCCGGTGATGGAAGTATTTTAAACACCGACTGCCGCTTTCTCTGCAGCAGGAGTTCTTAACCTGGGATAGATTTCAGGGGGGTCTGTGAACTGGAATAGGAAACAAATTGCATCTTTATCTTCACAAAGCTCTAACGGAAAGTTAGCATTTCCCTCCATTATGAACGTCGGCAACAAACCACAGTAGTCGTTGGAAGTGCATGTGACTTTGTCACCAATAGAAATCAGATATTTTCATGTTGCATTGAGTCGCTGTCTATTTCTTGAAATATCATTTACACTCATTTAAAAGAGAGCCTCTCTCTCTCTTGAGAGGCTTCCGGGCATGATCTTGTGCATGTGTGTGTGTGTGTGCTGGAATCAGTGTTCCCTCTAAGCTGAGTTAGTGTGAGCTAGCTCACAGTTCTTTAGCCTCCTGCTCACACATTTTTGTCTTCGCTCAGGAAGGAGGGCTCCAGAGCAGACTAATCTATGCAGTAACCAAATTGCTCGCTCACAACTTTAATGCCAGTAGCTCACACAATAGAATTTTTGCTCACAAGACTCCACAGCTTAGAGGGAACATTGGCTGGAATGTGTTCCCTACAACCAGTCTGGGCTTCTTTTTATTCTTAACAGCTAGATGCATCCCTGGTCTGATCCAGCAGGGTTCATTTTCTATTC